TTAACTTTACTTGAAAATCTGTTGTATCTAGGAGTCATCTTGATTTGTAGTCCACTTTCTATGCTCTGAATTTTTTGCTATTTATTGTAATTAAAACATTTTCATGTCTACTGTGCCTCAGGGTGGAATGCTTGCATTGCATTATAGTCTTTGGTAACTTTGTTGCGTGGTAAGTCTATACATCTATCTCTATATTTTATGAAATTACTAAACTGGCCATATTTAAGTTAGAGCATGATTAATTTTGTTAATATATCATGACCTATACAATTTTTCTTCTTCTATTTTCATGTGATAATCAGCCTTGATTAAGATATTTCATTTGTTAAGTTGGTTGGAACTTGGAATAATGATATATGTGGACTTTTATCAATCCATAAGATTTAATTTCAAAATCTTATTTTAGAAAATTAAATCTAATTCAATTTCTTACCTTTTTTTAATAAGTTGTATTAAAATATTAATATTTAAATAATACGAATAACAAATGTTTTATCACTAAACATGTATAGTCATATTCATATGCACCGAAGATACGTACTAACAAAATGTGAAAATACTATATATTTTTCTTTATTTCGCTATTTTTTTTAATAATTTTCTAGGCTTGATGATCAGTATGTACAATTGGCTACAGAGCATCTAAATGATGATATAGTTGATTGAAGTTTGACTCCTAAAATAGTAAGAAGTTCACACTTGTCTAAATATTATTATTTATTGTTGCACTTCTTTAAAGGTAATAATTTGACTTATAAATGTTGTTATTATTTCATTTATTTATTATTTTAATATTATTTTAATTTTGATAGTATGTCATGTTTAATTTTATTGTTCTTTATTTATTCTTCTCATAATATTGTTGTCATGAATATGTAGTCATGCCAAAGGTGAAGCGTTTTAGAAATCCACAAAAATCAGCACCTCAACCACAATGTGATGCGCCTCTAACACAAGCTCCAACACATTTTGTTCCAACAATGAATCCTGAAATTTCTTTCTCGCCTAGTGATTCCTCACAAGCTCCTGAAGTCCCAACTGTTAATGTCCCTATTTCTCATGTATCAACTTTTGAAGTTCCACAAGAAGATGAAACAACTAGACTTCATGTTGGACGTGAGTCTACACAATGTTGGACTGTTGAGGCAATAGGCATATAAGTATTGTATTTTTTTTTGTAATTATCATCATATGAAGTATATTACATTTTCTTATTAAGAAATTATTTTATTGTCAAAGACTCTGAAGAAACGATCAAGAAGATTAAGGTGAAAGTTAGAGGAGTCAATAGCTTACCTAGGGAGTTACGCATCATTGTGAATTTTGATGACCAAGGCCAAGAAATTGGTGAAGCACAAGCCTTGCTTGCAGGATTTCTTGGAACACTGGCATCTGATTGCAAGTTATTTCCTATGGATTATGATAGGTGGTCTGGACCTTCAGGCGTACCTAAAGCTTATTTTGATGATTGCTTTGAAACAATTTTAAAGGTATGTTAATTAGTTATATATAACTTTGTATATCTACATTGCTTATATTTTGCTATCTTTACTATTTTTCATATATATCTCTATTATTTTGCATATGATATTGACAATTTTGTTTTTTTTAAGCCTCGATTTTATTTTAAGATTAATGAAGCTAGTGCAAAACGGTATTGCAAATTGAGTATGGGAAGAAAATGGGCTGCAAATAGGCAAAGCTTATGGAATGAATTCAATGATCCATCCAAAATAAGAGATGAAATCATAAGAAATGTGCCAATAGGCATAGATAAAGATCAATGGGCTCATTTTGTTCATTATCGTCAAAAACCATCAACATTGGAACAATTAGATTATTTTAATTATTAAATTGTTTTTTATAGCTAATTATATGATTACTATTACAAGTTATAACCTTCAAATTACTTAGCCTATAGGAACTTTGTAGGAGAAATAAAGAAATTCAAAGCAAGCAAGTTATTCCACAGATTGGTGGATCCAAAGCTAATCCTAGAAGAATAAATGAGTTGGTAATGACACTAAATGTTAACTTTTACTATTTAAAGAAGTTCAATGTTTACTTACTCTTTATTTATCTTAGTTGTTAGAAACTGGGAAGGTACTAAGTCGTGGACAATTATATATTAAAACTCATAAAAGGAAAGATGGATCATTTGTAAATGAAACAGCAAAGACTATAGTGGTATGTTTTTCTTTAGAAACATTATTTTCAAGGATTGTGCCTAATATTAAAACTTTTATATTTGATTTTGTTACATGTCTGTAGGAACAAATTGAAGTAGGATTGACTCAAAGCACAGTTGATGAATATGAAGTTTGTCCTTTTGATGCTGTTGGTAGAGTGTTAAGGTCAGAGCACTCTAGGAGAGTGCGATGCATGGGATTGAGAGCTGTTCCTTCTAATACTTTCAGGAATACAAGACTTCGAGTTTCTAGCTTGAGCTCTTCTTCATCTGGTGTTGCCTTTCCATCTTCAAACCAATGGCAAGAGAAATACAACAATTTAGAATCAACTTTTAAGGCCTACATGATAATGAAGGAAGGAAGGATCCCTGAAGAATTAGCTAGTTATTTCACTCCTGAAACACATGTAAGTAATTAATGTGCATTATGTATATGTGAGGTATCCCAAAAACTTTAGTGTAATACACAATGTTCTCTTAAAACAATTTTTTTTTTACATAAGTCTATAGTTAATTAATTTATTCATATTATTAAGGAAATATATTTTGTAATTGGTAGAGGTGCTTATTAAGCTAATATATAGTTTTGTAGGTAGATTTTATAGTTAACCAACAATATTGAGCCGCATCTCTTCATTAACATCATTGTCTAATTTTTTTCATTTTGGCTAGTTCTTAATACTCTTTATCTCAAGTTAGGTCTATAAGTAAACATACATGATCAAAGTAATAACTATGCATAAGTTTGGAATATTAAAATAATTGTTTAGAATTGATTATTTTTTTATTGATTGTCATTATGATATAGTATGTGTGATACACCCTTGTATATAATATATATAACTAACTACTTTTTCTTTTCTTATTTCAGGCAAATGATGTTTCAAGTGTTCCTAATACACTTTTGGATGCAAGAGGATCTTCTGGTGCTAGCAACGCTTAGTTTGCTCATAATGTATTTTGGATTTAAAGTTTAGTACAAGACTAATATTACTTTGTTATGGATTTTATGTCATACTTTGATTTACAATAGAAATTTGAATTATAAATTTTTGAACTATACGCTGTTATTTTTATTATTCGAAATATAATTTCTGTCCACATTATGAGTATTCTTTTATTACATTTTTTTTATAGATATCATAAGAAAGTGGAAAATTGTAATACATGTAGATTATGAAATTAAAATGAGTATAAAAAATTTTCATAATCAAGAAAATAAGGAGAATTAGAAACCCAACCGTGAAACCTCTATTGTTAGAATGCTTTAAAAAAAATTCCATAGTTAGTATAGTTTTAAAACCTCTTTTAATAAACCTCCATAGTTAGGTTTAAAGCCTCCTTTAAAAAACCTCCATAGTTAGTGTAGGTTTAAAACCTCCTTTAAAAAACCTCCATAGTTAGCATAGGTTTAAAACCTCCTTTAGAAAACCTCTACAGTTAGTGTAGGTTTAAAACCTCCACAAAAAAACCTCTGCAAAATACTATCGATACCAGAGGTTTTTAAAAATCGCCGCTAATTGCTTGTGGCGAATGTAACTACATGTGGAGGTTTTTGAAAACCTCTGCGATTTATTTTGCGAAGGGTAAAAACCTCCACTAAACACAAAAATAATCTCCATTATTTAGCACATTTGTTGTAGTGAGCACACCCATGCTTAAGGAAGTATGCCCGTGTTGGGAGTCGCCATGATTGTGTTGTGGCTTTATTGAGTGAAGCACGTTATTGCCTAATGGAGCACAATCATACCATGATTACTATCCAAATAAGAGTATATTTCAATGATTTCAAACACTTGTGAATTGAGAAGTAAGAAATAGGTAATGTGAATGAATAATTGGCAGTAATTGATATGGAAGAGGGATTGAAAAAAGTATAATGCAAGTAAGAGTTGAGAAGATCTAAGAGTTGTAATAATAATTATGTACGTGGTGTGTGTATAAATATTCAATTTATTATATGGAGAGATATTAAATTATAGTAGTGTAACTTTTACAATTATTATACTATTTAATAACTTTAAATAAAAAGAGAATTTTATTGATCCAACGGTTGGATTACAACTTTATATTATCTTGAATATGTATGTTAAAATTTATTAAAATTGAACAATAATTAAAAAGATAATCAAATTGTTCATATTTTAATATATTTTAAAATATATATTACATCAATTTTAATATATATAAATGTTTTATCAAACAATTTTAAATTAATATAAAATTTTGTATATATATCTTTAGAGAAATAAAAATATAATATAGCAGTAAATTTTAAAAAATAATCAATTAAAAGTTACTGAATAATCTAATAATTGTTAAAAGTTACATAAATGTAATTTCATCCTCTATATATATAACATATACAAATTGTCATTTCATCTGGTCTTTATTATAAAACCCAATTTAAAGAACATAATGGACATTTTATAAGGCACTTTACAACTTTTACAAAATATTAATTTTATTATTTATCTTTTACCCTATTAAAAATTGTGACAATATGTGCTTACTAATCATCAATTATTAATCTTATTGTATCGATGTGTAAGTTCTAATACAAAGTAATACCTTCGCTTCTTCCATAAATATTTAACAATAAATAAAAAGTACAGTAATATTTCATAAACCTAACTATTTATATTGTTGAATGTGAATGTGATTGAACTAAAAATGGTTTATAATAAAGGCCTAACCCGGACCAGTAGCTGCAGTACCCGACTCAAAAAAAAAAAAAGAAAAAGGTAAAAAGGGGCTTTTGTGAAATTGTGAGCGTAACGGACTGGATGGGCTTTTATGAAATCCGGTTAATGAAATCCATTTGGTTCCGATTGAAATCATGTAAATAAAAAGGCTGCAGTGTGTGCCAGAAAGAGAAAGAGGTCAAATAGTTTACCTTTCTTCTTTCCCTCCATTCCTTTAACACCTCACCGCCATCACCATGGACGCTGCTGCTCCCTACAATCCTCGTACCGTCGAAGAGGTCTTCCGGGATTTCAAGGGTCGCAGAGCTGCCTTGATTAAAGCCCTCACCTCCGGTTCTTATCTTTTCCCATTCCAATTCTTTTTTTCTTTAATTAATTCATTAATTAATTCCGACCTTCTTTTTTTCTTTTTCTTTTTCTTTCACTTTTCTGTGCTTCCGCTCCAGATGTTGAAGAATTCTATCAGCAGTGCGATCCCGGTAACGTTTCTTTCGTAAAAATTACTTTTTTTTTTTTTTTTGGGTCCGTGTTTATGCCCTATCTTGTTTCCTTGAGCCGATTTCTGAAGTGAAAAGTGAGAATCTTGTTGGGTTTGTTTCAATTTTGAATTTTGTCGAGTGTTGGGGTTGTGGGTTTTCAAACTTGGTTTTTGGAAGTTCGGAATAAACGCTGTGTAGCTGCTACTTTGCTTGCTTTCGTGAGTTTGTGAATGGGTGCTTGAAGTTTTTATTCTTCTTATCTAATAATAACGGGACTGTGTTTGTTTGATGTTCGATGCGGTTGTTTGTGGGTTTATGTTTCTGTTACTATTTTTGTTATTATAGCTTTAATGTAGCATGGCTGAAGTAGGCATTTGCTGCTATATATGGGAAGAATCTCAAATTGAATTGTTCAGATGTTAGCTTTCAATTTTAGCTTGCATCGTTTTGTTTAAGTGTACATGACTCAGATTTTGTTTGGTTTTCTGGACTTCACACTAGTTAAAATACGGCAGAATGGGTCTATGTTAGATGGCTTCATTTTGCTGTTTCTTATTAATTTCCATCGGTCCATTCATATGAATTTCATTTGTTGGGTCAAAACAGGGAGCTTGTTTTTTTCCCCACTTTAGATTCTTTCAGGATCATTTGTCCTAATTCTTTACCCCACCCGGGTAGCATGAATATGACATGATGTTGAATGAGTGCATGCATGTTTGATAATGCTTAAATTTGTAGAAATAATTTTTTTAAGCTCTCTTAAAAAAGGTATTGAAAAAAACAATTACTTTTCTAAAATAATATGAACCAAAGACATTATATGGAAAATTCTAAAATTGATGGGATATGAGGTGGTTGGAGCCAGAACACATTATATGGAAAACCTTTGATATATTTTAAGGATAAACATACACAACTATTAATGTATGGACATATGATAGGATGCACAATCCGGGAAAGAACTCAATACAAGTTAAAACATGCCTTTTAATATAATATTTCTACATTGGTATTCTTGACACAAATCTTAAAATAAAATTAATATGGATGTACTTCAAAAGTAATATTTTTGAAAAAACAATGTTACTAAATATCGGCAGTAGTGTTGCTATAACACTATTGCCTCGCCTTTTTTCTTCAGAAATGCTATCGCGATGCCATTGTGTTGTGGAGTCCACAAAAGAGGTCATCATAACCGTCATTGTTGCTGTGATATATGTTGCACCGCAGTTCAGCTACTGCACTGGTAGCAGGATTGTTCTGCAGAGATGGACGGTAGGTGTCTTCATCATTCTGCAGAGCAGAGTGCATTGGATTTGAGCTTGCGGTTAGCTTATGGATGAGATTATGAGTGTTCGCTGTCACCTGGTTTTTCAAACCTACTTTTTCAAATATATTTTTAATAAATAGTAATCTGTTCTTTTAAATTGGTACGCATACACCTAGGCTTTTCTATTTGGACCCTTAACAATGACAACACACACAGCACAACTGCATTTTTTCTTCTCATATCTCCCAAATTGTGTAATCTCACTTTATTATGAAAGAAAATTACATCTGATTGCGTATGATAGTATGATATATCTTCATATATTATAGCTACATGCTTTTGTGTGCCAATATCAGCTACCATCAGTACCTGAGAGAGTGCGAACAGAAGAGTGCTGTTTAGGTTACTTGAAGTTTTTTTTTGCTTTTTATGTAACAAACAAAATTATATATCATGTTCGTTATAGGCATTTTTATACATAAATTATTCTATCCTTTTAGTTTTTATAGTTTTAATCCATGTTGTCAATAGTGACTGTAGCAGCCACAATCATGGCAGAGCAGAGCCTAGAACTACTGCTACAGTGATTGTGGCTGAAGCAACCCAAATTGGTGAAGCAGAGTGGACCGGGTCTAGGGCAGTCTGTGAAATTCTGAAAGTATCCTCACTTAGGTAGTGTTTGTTTCCGGTGAAATACTGTTCACGAGCAAAGAAAGGCGTGGATTGTGTGTGTTTGTTTCCCGTGATTTGGAACGAAAGAAAGGCGAAGAAAAGCGAGGAGAAGCACTGTTGCTCTCCTCGCACAAAAGGGAAGAAAGGAGCTGAAAGCCACGTAGGATTTGTAAAAATCCGAAAATACCCCTTCCATGCATGTGCCATGCAGCAGAGGATTTACGTTCACGTTCTCCACGGGCTGGTGTTGATTCTCGACGTTGGGTGGCTGGTGGGTGTTGGTGGTGAGTGATTGTGGAAGGAGGTCTTCCATTTAAAGAAAACGAAGGAACATAATCGATTATGGTTGGCCACATAATCGATTATGGCCTTGCATAATCGATTATGGGTGAGGCATAATCGATTATGCAAGGCCATAA